AGGAAGCACATGGTGGAGGAAGATGGTCACCTATGGCAGCTGGGAAGCCAAAGAGAAAAGAGGAAGGGGTGTGGTCCCAAGGTTCTTGAGGGCATGCTCCCAGGGACCAGGAGACCTCCCACTAGGCCACACCTCACTCCCAATAGCACCAAGCTGGGGACTAAGGACGTAACACAGGGGCCTTTGGGGGCCATTTAAGATTCAAGTCATAGCAGGGTATGTGTGTACATTCTTTCACATTTAAAATGTTTAAATCAACAGTATTGGGTTCTAGGAATCTTGACAATCACTTGTAAAAGGCCTGGAGCTCTTGTTAATCCAATGCTTTGTTCCAAAAGTGTAATGCTATTGCTAAAATAGCTGATGTAAAATGTTGATAGTGTTTATTATAAAACAATAAAAATGACTTTTCTGGGAAGAATACATCACTAGTGAGAATAAATGTATTGGTCAGGACATTTGTAGAGTACTATTTTCTCATCAGAATGCTGCCTAAGTGGCTAAAACAGACAGAGAAGGGGAGAGTTATATGGTTGGAAGCCATGTCATTTGAGGGACAGTCAAGTAATTAAATTGTACCTATATTTAGTGCTTAGCACCCTACTTAAGCTTAAGCTTCTCCCAAATATTCTCATTACCTAACTTGGAGAAACATGGTGTATTTTCCCTGGCAGAAAGAAAACCCAGCCTTTAAGTATGGAAAGTCTTCACTAAACTAAGAGAATTAAAGTAAAATAAGAAAGAGGTAGAGATGGGATTTGACCATAAAGGAAGTTTGAGTCCAATATCTTCTTTAAGTTATGTATATGAAAACGTACATATACTTTTTCCTTTGTTAAGCAGTTTCACTTAGCAAGTCTATCTGAAAAGATTTAGTTAGAAAAAGCGAAGTTGTATCTGAGCATGTCTCAGACATGATGTCTTATTTAGCTTTACTACCATGGGACTAGCACAACTCCTAAGACATAAGCACTCAGTAAGTATCTGCTGAGTGAATTAGCCAATCCCTTTGCTTGTCTATGCATCAGCCCACAGATGAACATTAGATAAAATATATACTCATTCAAACAAGAGAGAAATATTTCTCTGCAAGTCTGTTTTCTTTATAGCATCCCATGTTACAATGTCTTTTCAGCCATCTGTCCTCCGTTCCCCCACCCCTGGCAACTCAATTTTCCTCTCCACCCATCTACTTTGTCCCATGAGTGAATAAGGCTTTCACTTCCACCTGTCTACTTGGCTATTAGCCAAGATGAGTCTTCCTGCTCTTCATAATTGCTTGTCTTGATTGACAACCCAGGAACTAGGACAACAGGTGATCATGATAGTAAAAACATTCATCAGATTGTTTAGGAAGAGTGAGAAACAAAACAAAAGGAAAGAATTCCGATTGCAGCAAGGAAACCACTTTCAAAATATCTTCACTCATCCTCCACCAATTTTTTTTTCCTATCTCATTATAGAAAGACTATAGGAAGAGCACTGGTAGAAGAAAGAATTATTTGTGCATGTACATCAGAAAAATAAATTTCTTGGTACTATAAAAGGTTCTAGAACATTCTAAGGCTAAACACAATGACATCTAAAATCCAGGCAGAAAAAATGTGAAGGAAGAACATAGGGCTAATTCTAATGCAGTCACAAAGCACCATTATTACGACAAGAAGAAAAACAGGTTAAAGTTAATTCAGTTCAGTTCATTTGTTTCTAGTATCTACCTTCTGTCTCTGAAATTGTACTGGCAATGTCAGCACTGCAGACAGCACAAAGAAGGAACCCTCTCCACACCCTGCTACCCAAAGGTTATCCGGTAACCTGATCCTGCAGACTGTAGGGCAGAGAAAGGAGAAAAATCTGTTCACATTAAAAAGAGATATTTTAATTCATTAATATCTTACATACTATTCACCATTTTATTTGTGTTAAGATAACCTTATTTGTGGACTCAAAAATGAACCTTTTCAATCTCAAATGATTGTAGCACTTCTAAAGGGTGATATACACATTTCAAATACAAAATAGTACTGAAACAAAGGACACAATGAGAAAGAAAGGAAACTTTCCCGAATGATCTATACTCACTTCACCAACCCAAGACTATGGGAAAGAAAAAAGTTCTTAAAGGTAGATGCTTTATATGTAGGGAAATAAGAAAAAAAAAAAAGAGATTTTGCAAAAATGAAAATGCTTTTAGGAGAACAAGAAGGCCAATGATTACCTCATAACCCATTAAAAGCATATAAAAAGTTTATCTGAAAATGGATTTTTTTGCTTTTCCATTGGTGACTTTACCAGGATATTGAGCTGAGGTTTACAAAATGCTGTGCTAGGAAGAAACATTATAATATAGTATCAAACAAAGAGGTTAGGTTGATTTGGTGGCTTGCTACCCAACAAACGCCATATACAGAACTGCCAGATAGTAGAAAATGTATGATATGCTCAAGACCAGCTCTTTACCTACATTTTAGTGAATTTCAGATCCTGTCTCTAGATGGAAAAGGGTAGGGGGAGTACAACAAAGATTTCCAGACCTTGGGTGTTTAAAGGGCCTTCACACAGTAAATCACCCCACTGCTGTCCTGTTTTCTCCCCAGCCAGACTGAAATAATACAGCACCAGCAGAGGTGTGAATTACCCCCATTCATCTTAATGGAGTGTTAACTTCAAAGACTTGTTTTAACCATTTAAATGCTAAGCTCATGAGTAAACATTCTGTTTAAAAATGTATAATTTAAACCTTGAACATATGAAAGTAATTTATAGTCTTGGTATTTCGTCTTTTAGTCTAGCAAACAAGTCTCCAAAAGTTAGAAAAGTATGTAATTTGTGCTTTACTTAGTTTTATTTTAAATAGTTATTACTTAATAAATTATGAACATTAAACCTATAACAAGAAGGTCCATATTTCCAGAAGAAAGGCTAAGGAGCACTTGAACAAGGTGTCTTGGTAACACCAGTGAAGGGCACACTGCTTTTACTGGCCACCCTCCAAACTCAGAGAATACTCTGTCTCTAAACAGGTAACTATAAGGCAGAACATGAAAATAAAATGGAAATGAATGCTTCCAAGAAACATTTTTCTTGATATTAACTAAGCTTTGTGCACAGCGTTCCACAGGTTATTTGTCCCTTTTGCCAAACCTCCCACCATACTATCCCGTGAGAGGTGACAAATGTATTAATTGATGCACAGCTGTCATCACACTTAAGATTTGCCCCAGGGGGGCATCCTTTGCATCTGTTGTAGATTTAGTTTTTCTTTTTTTTTTTTTTTTTAATTACTGGAGTTAGATTTATTCAAACAGCTGGACACCTATGTCTACTTGGATCCATAATTTCAAAAACAGAAAGAGTAGGTACAAGTAGAAACCTATCAGATTGATGGGCTCTGAATCTTCATGGGAGGCCTTGCCTAGTTATGCCCCTGGGACTATGCTAAGTGCCTAGTTTCAGGAAGGCATTAGGATGAGAGTACAGCTGGGGTGGAACTGTGGGAAAGCACTAAAAAGAGTGCTGTTGGAACCAGCTCCCCTTTGAGTGAAGGCTAGAAAAAGATTCTGAATATAATACTTGTATAAGATGGAAGATGAAAAAATTTAAGATATGTTTCCATGTCCTTCATTCAAAGTAATTTCATTTTCTAGGTACAGACAAAAGGTCAGAGAAAGGGGACAAACATTTATCTACTGAGAAGCCCATTTTGGTCTGCATCTAGTTAGTATATAGAAGCCATTTAGTCCTCTCAACACTACCCTCTGACAGCCATTAACTCCATTTTGTGGATTTGAAAGTGGAGGCTTAGAGATAAGTGTCTTTCATTGAGATGTGAATCCAAGTCTTTCCAGTTTAAAAGCTTTACTTTTTCCCATTACACCATATGTTCTCAAGTTGCCAAAGCAGTATCTCTTTGAGTTTCTTTTTTGAAAGGCTCAGTTATCAACTTTGTAGCCTATTTTCTAGATTGGAAGAAAGAGGGCACCTGCAAAAATGTACATTTCCTTATATGCAAATTGGAATTTTGCATGCAATTCCCTACTTTACATGTGGACTAGTATAAGATTACATTTTTAGTGATACACCCCGGCTTCCATAAACTGCTAACCATGTGACAGAAAAGCCCTAGCTTCTGGCTTCTAACCAGAAATTAGTCATGTCAACAGGAAAACTGCAATGATTTATAACCTACAAACAAAATATAATTTAAATGATCAGTATTTGTCTCTGTTTGCCAAGTAGAATGTTAACATGTTTTAGTGGCAGACTGATAAAGCTCAGAGCTTTCCAATCCACACAATAACAGGAAAATCTCAAAAGTTTTTGGATAAGATTTGGAGGTAGGGCAAAATACCAAGTGGAAAAATCTAACAGTTGTGATTGATGGTAACAACATTCACCCATAAGCTAAGATTCAATACTGAATATAAACTGAATATACCTATTTATTAAAAACAAAACAAACTAATAACTGACTCAATATATTTAAGAACATTAAAAACTTCTGCTCTGTGAAAGAGACTCTTAGGAGAATTAAAAGAAAATCTCTGCAAAACAATTATCTCATAAAGGACAGGCATCCAAAATATACAAAGAATGCTTAAAAATCAACAATAAGAAAACAATCCAATTAAAAAAACAGGCATAAGAGTTGAATAGACACTTCAAAGAAAACATACTAAGGACAAATAAGTATATGATTAGATGCTCAACATATGTCCTTAGGAAATTGCAAATTTAAAAAAATGATATAACACTACATACCTATTAAAGTGACAAAAACTCAAAACAATGACAATACCAAATGCTGGGCAAGGATGTGGAATAACAGAACCTCTCATTCATTGCTGGCAAGAATGCAAAACCTTATAAACACTTTGGAAGGCAACTGGTGGTTTCTTAAAAAACGAAACAGGCTCTTACCATTGAATGTAGCGGTGGCCCTTTGTATTTACCACCCACCCCCCCACCCAAAGCTAAAAACGTGTCCACATGAAAACCTGTACCACAAAGATTTACAGCAGCTTTATTCACAATTGCCAAAACTTGGAAGCAATAAAAAGGTCTTTCAATAAGTGAAGAAATAAACTGTGGTACATATATACAATGGGATATTATTCAGAATATTATTAAAAAAGAGATGAACTATCAAGTCATAAGAGACATGGAATAAACATCATTGTATATAGTTAAGCCGAAAGAAACCAGTCTGAAAGGACACATACTATTATATGATCCCAACCAGATGGTATTCTGGGGGGGAAAAAAAAAAAAAACAACTATGGAGACAGTAAAAAGACAATACAAACAGTGGTTGCTAGTGGCTGCAAGAATGAACCCGAAGGTAAACAACTGGCTTTAGTTAATAATGTTTCAAAATGGTCTCATTAAGTGTAACTAATACATGGTGTTAATAATAGGAGAAACTGCTCAATGATTCTGAAGACACAAAACTACTCTTAAAAAAAAAAAAGTCCACTGATTTTAAAAATCCCCGTAAATGAAACATTGACTCAAAATACTTAAGAGCATTTTGAGTTTGTTTCTTATTTTAATTAAACTGCTATATTTCTACTTTCTCCTACACACTGCCATTATGTTCTGCTTTATTCTGTTAATGATTTTAATAAAAATGTATTTTTTCATCGAAGTGGCTTCCAGAATTATTCCTTCTTGCTTATGTAGGTAAATTATTCTTCATAAGTAGGAAAATATTCTTTCATTTGTTAATCCAATCAAACACGATGAGTGCTAAACTAAAATTCCCAAGCAAAATTCCAGAGATGAGCAAAACAAAAGCCTGTGGAAATAAAAAAGATAAAATAACAATTAAGAGTATTTCATAAACCTCCGTTCTTCCCAATAATGTTTTCATAATATTTGACTTTTTGAATATATATAAAATAGTATCAAATGACAAATTAGTTTTTAAAAAAGAAGTCTTAAAAGAAATAAAAACAACCTACCCCAAGCTTTTTCCATGAAAGAAAATCCTCTCTACTAAGTTTAAGATAAAATAGTCCTGGGAATACAAAAATCAAACATGTTGATGTACTGGCCCCTGTAAGTTGGAAGGGAGAAAAGAAAGATGTTGGATTCAGATGTGAGGTGGAGTAATAATTTTATCCATCTTATTATGTGGATTTTTTTGAAATGAAAAACTTACCAACTACACCAAAAACATTTCTAATGTCAGGAACATATATTGCAAGTAAAAGAATGATGATATTGAGTACTAGAGTAATCAAAGAATGGCGAATCCATGAGAATGGAAAATTGGAGAAAAACATCATCATTAAAGCTTTTCTGGCCTGTATAAGACAAAAGGAAATAGACTTAAGCAAAGAGGAAGCATCAAAGGCAAAATATTTGCTTAGCAAAGCACATGTACAGTAACCATGATATTCTTGCCTCCAAACTATTTAGATTCCCAAACTATAGCATAAATTGTTTCAAGTGTTTATACTCATAAACTACGTGTTTATCACATAAACCTTTCTACATGAGCTCATAAAAATTATTTTGCATTAGTTCTAGAAAAAATTTTTCACAGGCAATTTTTTCAGGTTGTATAATTTAAAAAACTACCAACAGTGACATTGTGTGATGAGATCTCAAAGAATCATTTTCACTAAAGTCAACAGAAAAACAAATGGTTTAAAACAGAAAAAGATCTGATGTCATGAAAAAGAAATACCACTTACTACTTTAACTTATATTATCTGTTTCACACATGTAAATATGAATAATTGCTCATTACACTGCCCACAGCTAGGCAGTCGGTCACATTCCATGAAAGTGTGCCCAACCCCTGTTGCACTCTTGGCACTAATCTCTGCATAGGGAGGGACAAACAATCTCGAAGGCTCAGTCAGTTCTTACAAAATTCGCTGTGAGATTCAAGACATCCATGCAGAGGCAGTTTTACCCAAAGCTTTTGTTTTCACTTTCTCAGAAATTCTTAAGATTCTTATGTATAGCAACTAGATGCAGAATGAAAATCTGTTCTGCCCCTCAAGTTATAATTTTAGAGCAAGTCAAATATTTTGAGTAAGATTAAACTAGCATGTCTATGTGAAAATAAAACTACAGTAAACCAGTAGGAGCTTATTTTTGCTGACTTGACTATTTCCTTTTCATGCATATTCTTTTGAAAGTAGAATACAGAATTGGGGGAATAAAACTTTAGAACTACAGTCTCTAAATTGGAAACAATGCTGTGGGAGAACTTAAATCTAAACTAAATCTCAGAAAGCACAAATTAGCTTAGTGGTTCACTGTTATTTTGGGGCTTTCATGGGGCCATATGCAAGTATGAGGTCTTTGATCAATTACTTGACAAATGAATAAGATATACAAGACTAGACATGATTCAAAGGTTCTAGTCTGCAAAGAATTAGTGTTGCCATATTAGGGAGCCACTACACTAAGCAACAAAATCTTTAAGCATACTTACAGGGAAGTGGATTAGAGGGACTGTCAAAAGCACAGCAAATAGTATGCATAACTTCACAGTCATGACAATAACATCATGTGGCAAGTATTTACTATAACCTTGTAGTAATTCTGACTCCACTTTGTCTGTAAATAAAAAAAATACTAAAAATCACATTATAAGCTATGTTCTAAGATGTCAATAATAGCAAAATCATTTTCCATAGCACTAATGGATCCTAATAGATTTAGATTCCCCATTACCAAATACATCTCTGGCCTTTTCCCTATTCCATGAAATACAAAGACATTAGTTAAATATATTCTTGAAAACTACATTCTTTTTAAATTTTTTAATGAGATTAGAAACCAGGACAGGCAACACCTACAAAATTATGACAGTTAATGTGTTTAGAAATTTCTCTTTAGAACTTTTCTACCATCTGAGGGTTTGAACACTCAAGTTGTCTGCTTATATAGTTGCTTTCTCATGTATTGTTGAGTTTGGTCCCTATGATAACAATATAAATAGGTAAACTTAAAACTGTAAATCACTTGCCTAAGATCACACAATACAAAGGAGCATAGCTGACAGGGTTGTACATCCAATATTTTTGGGGTGCCCAAGTTGATACTTATACAACAATACCATGATATTTCCTCATATCTTACAGTATTTCGTGCATATTACCAGTTTTTGTCAACAATTCATCTATAGATTCATCCTTGGTGAAAGAATGAAGTGTTAGGGAAATGGTTACTCAGAAGCAAGGGCAGCAGTCAGACTTTTTGCCTCATGGTGTTGCCATACTCACAATGTCTCCCCTCACCCCAAGTCAGCTGAAGAAGAGTGTGGGTGCTCAAATACACTGCCACTTCAGTGTCAGTGGGCAAAGACTAGTTAGTACTTAAAACAGAATGGTGTGCACATGCCTGTAATCCCAGCGGTTCTGGAGGCTAAGGCAGGAGGATTGCAAGTTCAAAGCCAGCCTCAGCAATTTAGCAAGGCCCTAAACAACTTAGCCAGACCTTGTCTCAACATATAAAAGGCTGGGGATGTGGCTCAGTGGTTAAGTGCCCCTTGGGTTCAATCTCCCCCCACAAAAAAAAACCCCAAAATCAGAATGGTATTTTTCATTTGAGAGTACAGGTTGTAGAAAGGATGCTTTGAGGCAGATTAAAAAAAAATCAACTATACCTTTGTTTTCAAGAAACTTAAAATTTAAAGGGGAGAATGACAAATTCACACGTACATAATACAAATTATACATCCACATAAATACACATATTGGTAGAAGAAGGTCCAAACAAAGAGCTTTGGTGATTCTAAAGACCACAGAGCAATGTTCAAATTTCACCACTTACTAGTGATTTTTCCAAGTCTCAGTTCCTACATCTTTAAAATAGGGACAATAATACATTGACCTATAGAGTTACTAGGACATTAAATGAGTCAATCAATATATGTGTGCTGGTGTTCAAAACTGTGGGAAAAGAGATTCTTTAGAAGAAAAAAACAGCACAAGTGGAAGTCTTAAAGTAGCAAAGGGAATGTATATCTGAGAAAATAAGAAGTCCATTCAGTACTGCAGTCACTGAAATATAATAAGCAGAAGTACAAAGAGGGAAGTTGGTGACAGGGCTGGAAATGCACTGAAGACCTAGGAATACAGCTCTGTGTAGGGGTTAGACCAATCTTGCATGTCACAGACTTGCAATAGTGATTCAGGAAGGAGACTGTATTATAATCTGAACGAAGCAAAGTATAGACTGGAAGGAAAGAAAAAGAGGGATAATAGAAGGCTACTCTCATAACCACTGAGAGGTAATGAACTAGACTAGTGATAATGGAAACGGGAAAGAAATGAGTTGTCTAAAGTATTATAGACGAAATTTAAACAATGTGGGACTAACGGACTAAGTAGGTGACTAAGAAGAGCCAGGAAATCCAGAAATCTGGATTTTATTTCCAAATCTGTGAGATACTTGGGAGTCTTTTGAGAAATATGGCATACTATTTTATTTCCATTTTCTGAATCATAAAATATGCCATTAACACTTCTTGCTTAACAACCTCATAGACTTTAAAAGGTCTGCTTATTATGCAACATTTGGGCAGTGGCCTAGCTCACCAGAGAACACTTTTCTCTTTCTCACCACATAATGCTTTAACATCTGTAATTAGAGTCAATATTATTAATCTTTGTATATACTTATAGGTCCCTTTAATCTTACAAAAGTTAGATATTAACTAAATCTTGGGAATTCTGGGTAAAAGGATTCCAAGTAGCTCCAGAATCCTGAAGAATTAGATTATTATAAATTCAAAATGTATGTCACTTGTCCACTTTCTACTTTCCCAGGATGAAAACCTTTCTTCCGAGTCAGTCATTCTGTATTCTTAGCTGAACTGTAACATATGTAAGTGATAGAGTACAACACGCTTCTCTAGATTCCAATAAATCTCTACTAATCTCAGAAAGGACCTGCTGGCGATCTCTGCAAGTTCTATCGCCATTAAAGTCAAGAGCCTGTCCTGTATAATACACACTGTCAAACAGGGTCTGAAGCTTATTAAGATTATCATAAAGTAGCAGAAAGAATACTGGATTAGCATTCAGGAAACCTGCCTTTAATTCTGTGACAGGTAACTTCATCACTCTGGGCTTTAGCTGCTCATCTAAAAAATGAATCTAAAGCTTTAACTCCAGACTAGACCTTCTGATAAAATCCCAGGCTCAATTAGCAATTTCTTTCCATAAGACAGAGCTCTTGTTGAACTTATAGAAAGACACCATAAAAAGTTTTTCTTGCTTATGATTAATAATACTTAAAAGAACCACTGTGAAGAGTAAAGCAGTTTCTGCATCTTCCTGACTATGGAGAAGAGTTAATTTTTTTTGGTACTAAGGATTGAACCCAGGGGTGCTTTATACTGAGCTACTTCCCCAGTCCTTTTTATTTTTTATTTTGAGAAGGGTCTAACCAAGTTGCTGAGGGTCTTACTAAATTGCTGAGGCTGGCCTTAAATTTACAATCCTGAGTTGCTGGAATTACAGGTGTGCACCATTACACCTGGCAAGAAATTACTTTTATACAATTGCATCTGTCTATACATAAAGCTAGCTATCTGTCTTCTTCTCTATCATCTACCTACCTACTGTGTGATTTTTCTTAGATGTACATTTCTCCATTATATAAAATTTTGATACTTTGAAGAATTTGCATTATGGAGATGGGATTAAATCATTTTAGTTGATAAAGACATTTCATTTACATAACAAAATCCTTTAGGTTTTGCTTTTAAGCAACAATAATGGATGGATGAATGGTGATGGAGGGAGAGGGAGGGAGGGAGAGATGAAGAAGTGGGGAATGAGATATCTATATATATGGATGCCTGGAGCTTAAGTGAGCATGAGCAGTTTTACCGAAAGTTCACTTAATAAAAACTTGGGATGAAGAGAGGTTTTACAGCATAATCTTTGAGGAGGCAGCACAGTTAATAAAAGCATTGGATTTGGAAAGAAACAAAATAATTAAATCTCAAGCCCATTATTCATTAGCTATAGTTACTGGCCTAATTATTCAATCTAAATGAACCTATACCACCTTACAGAGTTGTTATAAGGATGAAGTTAAATGATATATGTAAAGTATCTGATACTTAAATGTTAGCTCAATAAATGTATTAGCATCAATCACTTCTCCACATCCCTTTCAATGTAAGCTTTGTTTCTGATAATTTAATACAACAGCTCCTAAGTACCTAATGATTCATACAATTAATGTAACTATTTCTCAGTCATCTTGGTATCAGTAAGGCCATTTGAGGTTTCTCTCAGGTAGTTCTACTTATCTATAGGGAGGAGAAGGTCAGTATTTTTGGACATTTTTTTCAAAGTTGAAGATTCTAAACAATGCAGATTAAGTATCCGTAATCTAAAAATCCAAAATATGAAATGCTCTGAAAATTCTTTGACCAAAATTCTTCGAGCACAAAAGTCTGCAAATATTCTGAAATCCCCCAAACTCTGAAATCTGAAACACTCTGATCCCCAGAATTTCAGATAAGTGATAACCAGTAGTATTTGTGCCAGGTGACAATCTTAATTTTTTAAAAAGGCAGCTATTCTGCTACTCTAAATCTTTTAGAAACCCAAGAGGACCCAGCTATGATATTAATAATCCCAGCTATGATATTTTATTAAAACAGAAAAGTATTACGATTTCAGGTTTGTATAAAAATGAATATATTGAAAAACCAAAAATAAAGTACATATATTTCAAGAAGTTTGCTTTTATTAGTGATGATCACAAATGCTTAACAATTTGTTTTCACTTTCTTTGTAGTGTGTCTCACAGGGCACCATGCTCACATTGGAAAAAATGCTTTTCTTAAAGGTGCACAAAAAGCTCTACTACTCTCTTCCTATATCAGTATAAAAATGCAATAGCAGATTTAGATATATGGGATGGCCATTATTATTGCTGAAATAACATAGAGGCAGCAAGAAAATAAAGACTACAGAGAGCAATTATAATTTTCTCCCACATAAAATGTCATGGTAATATGGCATATACAGAAAAGTTATATTTAAACTATTTTATTAAAAACAGAAAGAAGTACAGTACTAAAAGAGCACCTTAAATATAATGAAAGTTATAATAATAATGCCAGCAGCAGCTCTCATTTGTGAAGGACCATTATATGAATTTTACATATAATTGATTTCTGCTTCAAAACAACTCTATGAAGTTATTCCCATATTACAGATTAGGAGATAAAGCTACTGCAAAGTGAAATAACCTGTTCAAGGTCATACAGCTAGTTAAAGTAGAGGAGGTATGTGTACCACATTTGTTGGATTTCAAATAAACTTGCTGGATTTCTTTCCAAAGGGCTGAGGAAATGTAGCAGTATAAGCAAACATTATCACAAAACTTGTCAGACTTGGGAAAATTCTGTGCAATAAGAAAAGTGCCATTACTAGTCATGACATTATTAGTCATCACTGATGTCTACAAGCTGAAACATATTCACAAGACAATCACACAAGAAATGATAGTTATTCACAGCTAAGTATTACCTAAGTAATAACAGCCATTTACTTGCAGACTTATAAAACAAAAGCATCCATAAACCAAAAAGTATATGCAGAATTTCACAAATTGAGTGTAACTTGTGTTACAATATGTTTTTATGTAAATTCAACAAGTATGCTTACATATCAAACAAGAAAGCTTACAATTTTTATTCTTGTTCTAGAATTCTGTTTTACTTTTTCCTCAAGTTCTTATCAAGAGAAAACTACCCAACATAACAAGCAGGGAATTTTTCCAAAATATATAAAAGATACTTTTATTTTGTGAATTTAAAACTGTCTTTAAGAATAAAGGAGAAAGGTCATGGTGAGTTATAGAATGTACATCTGATGAATTCTGGAGACAGAAATATCTGACATCTAAGTGTAAAACTAAAATCGAGTGTAAAACTCTTTCCTTTTCTCAACTTGTTCTTTCGCAATTAAAATGATTTTACTCTCTCAACCCTAAAACTTCTGACTAGAGTATAATATACTGAATATGCAATTTTAAAAAACCAAAATCATTATCTTTTTAGAAAGACATCAATATCCCTAAACCTGAAATATACTTAGGTGTATAAGAAATTTTTCATATGAAGTCATTAATCTTTAATTTGATCCACCTTTCTAAGAGAAAGAGAATCATTTCTATAAGGTCCCTAGAACCACCACAATACTGCACTGTAATCTGGGTGGCCTGCACAAATTAACTTATTACTGAAAGTCAGAAAGAAAGTCTATAATCATGTGTGAGATCACTTATGTAATAATTTATTTTGTTATCTCTATCTAAGAATATACTCGCTGGAAGTGGTGGTGTACGCCTGTAATCCCAGTAGCTTGGGTGGCTAAGGCAGAAGGATAGTAAGTGAGTTCAAAGCCAGCCTGGGCAACTTAGTGAGGCCCTAAGTAACTTAATAGGACTCCGTCTCTAAATAAAACATATATTTAAAAGTTGATGGGGGGTGCTGGGGATGTGGCTCAGTGGTTAAGAATCCCTGGGTTCAATCCCTGGTACCCCCCTCCCCCCCCAAAAAAAAAAAAAAACCCAAATAGAATATACTCACCATAAAAAGTGAGGTAACCAAAGAGGGCAGATATAAAGTAAATGAGAAAACTTAAAGCAATTGCTGTATTGGTTACATTCTGCATTCTTTTCTTTGATGGGCTAAAAGACAAAAATGGCAAAGGTAAAACCAGTGATATGAATTATAGCTAAACAAACAAATGTCTCCCAAATTAGTCAAGAAGATTCTTCAATCATTCAAGACCTAATCTATCAATAACTGCACACTGGAATTAGTAATGTGAAGTCAGCATAGGAAGATTACATTTCCTGGAAACATTCTTAACTGAGAATTAACTTGCTTTGTTTTATTTCATTTTAAATTAACACTTAGAATCTAGCGATGATATGAAGGGATTCATAAATGAGAGCGTCATTCAATTTGATGAAAGCCCTCCAGGTAAAAAAACAAAAATATTTAATTCATTTAAAATACTCCAGGATTCTACAGTACCTTTGAAGTTCACAGTATATCGGCAATATTGAGGTATGGCAGAGAAATGAAAAAGCCATGGTTGGTATAGCGTAAGCACTCTGAAAAAGAATTTTAAAAGACAATTAAATGCTATCCTATTGAAACAATTTCATTTGACAACAGTTCTTTTAAAAAATCAATGTATTTCATCTTTCATGAGTCATTTCTTTATAAGATTTTTTTTCTTTTCAGAGAGATATACCTATAGTTACCAGCAAATGTTTTACTTAGCTATACTAGGGAGAACATTTTTAGGCTGACTTCCCATACCATTTTGCTTTATTACAATACCGCTTCTACATTATTTAGGTAAGATAAAAATAGTTTAGGTAAAATAAATAATATTTAGGTAAGATAAAAATTATACCTTAGAAATGTTCTCATTGCAATTCTCAGTCATTACCAATGTATGCACAATTTAAATACATCTTAATACCTTAAGCACTAGGCAATATTGTTAATAATTTTAAATATGTTTTCACCAAAATGTAATCCATAATAAAATAATAATAAAGTGTTAACCATATCTTTGTACTACTGCAAGCATCTTTGATCAGGATCTCTTTTAATAAGAATGAATGTCATTTATTCTAGACCTAAAAACTCTTTAAGATCCCATGGAATACATAAGCTTAAATTTTGTTTTGTTTTTATTATTAGAATACTTAACAAGAGCCAGAGGGAGCTATAAAGGAAATAAGTTACCATCTAAATGAAAATATGGCCTTTTCTCTTTTATGCTCTAAAAATATTTTCCCTTAACTAGCTTTAGGCTCTTCAGCAAAAGAAGTTCCAGATGAAGACCTATCTGGGGATATAATGCCTAGACTCCTAAAATATCTGAGAGGGGCTACGAGGAAGGAAGTTGTAGAGTTTCCTGAGGGTGGATTAGGGAATAAGAGTTTAATTCAAAAATTCTCTATTTCATACATTGCTTAATTTCCTGGCTTGTCAGTTACTCCACTTAGATCTTTAAGGCACAAGGAGGTCTTTACCACGCAAAAGATGTGGTAACCTCCCTTGTGGGGCCAGAGAGTCATTTCTCATTTACAAACTAGGAGATACAGAAAAATTCTGCATGGAGGAGTATGCAGACTTCCACAGTATAAAGCTGCACATGAGTGGAGGGGTTCTACCAATTTGGGACCTACAAAATGGGATTTTGGCAGAATTAAGACAGTGTAGAGGAAGAAACCTGCAGAAAAAAGGAAGACTTTTGTGCTCCTCTACAAATATTTGTAAAGCAGAGACCATCCAGATCACAGTTCCTGCATCCTCTGCTGATGCTCAGGGGCTCTTACAGGCATTTTTGAGTATCCTATACCCCTTAGGCTCTTAGAGAAGGCAAGGGGACTTAAGGTTTTTAGTCTCGACTCCTGGCATCATAAATTTCAACTTTGGAATGTTGGTCAGAAGATATATTGGCAGTACTCAATTGTTGGTCCAATGATGAGGCTGCTTAGCTACAGACCAAAGTTCTACTCACAGGGGAGGAGTTTTTGATTGTAATTGGCTATTTAGCTTTACAAGTCCAGAGGGCAACAGGAAGTCTGTATCCACAGAGGACCTTATTGGCCAGACCAGACATTCGGTAAATCTGTTCTTTTAGGCAGAGGCCCATTTAAAACAGGCTCCATTTAAAGGCATGCCAAAGGGGGGGAAAAAAAAGGTGGCTGTTTCATAATGGGCCACCCTGTGTTAAATAATATTATTCTTCTGGTAGGCAATCCTATACTTAGCACATTCATGAAAATTAATTAGTTACAGGTACAAAGACCTAAGAGACCCTGTTACACAAATCTCTTAAAACTTGAAATGTGAAAAATCAACCAAAAGTATCTGTTAATAACTTACACACCTCTTTGGAGAAATGAAAGAGCTTTGGTTTACAATCATCTGTAGCATTTGAAATCTGTTTAAGAGTATTGAGGGGAAAAAGAGAAACCAACAGCTATTAAAAGTCAGAATACATCAACAAAAAATTAATTGTATCATTACTAGGCTTTCAAATCAAATTATTTCAAAGCAAAATTCCAAAATACATACAACCACTACTTTTTTATTAACAAGGAAAAAATTATTTGCTTGCCTTTTCTCCCTTTTTAGTTTAAAAAGGCAAACAACAACAAAACAAAAACTATTACCTGGAAGAATTCCTCTGTATGATTTAATGTCAGAGGACAAGGGATGGCCCATTTTTTAATTATTATCTGTAAGAATAATATAATCAGTACTCAGATTATTTCTAATAAAATTCATTGATTTCAAATAGGTCAAAATTATTTTCATTAGTCTAAAACCATGCCAAACAGCTAACAGAAGATTCTTTGCTGGTAAGAGTTTCCCCAGTTAGAAGGGTTCATCATTTAACAGTTACCTGTGGTAGGACTATGAGGGATAGGACAGAAGGTGTTTCACATGTGTTTAGTGGGGATCTTTTCCATTAAAGACTGGGGGTATTTCCTGTCAACTTTCAAAACTCCTACAGCATCAGTGTATTTTTTTTTTTTAAGTGTGACTCAAAGGGGGAATGTGTTTTGTCAATGGTACAAAAATATGATTATTTGTTTCAGTAGCAGTCAGAGAAATACTAATAGCAGGTTTGGAAAAGGCACAGGGAGAAATATGTAGAGACTTTATGTAAAGGCGGACCTCAGGGATTTCTGATGAATAAGTACTTTCACCCTCCTTACTTTTTCAGATTTGTATTATTTTTGGTGAATGTGGAGAAAGCTGGCTAGAATAAGAGCACATAACTGGGAACTCCAGCTGGTAAAAATAAATTAAAGAAAAAACATTAAGAGAAACCCAGAGGGATGCTATTTCCCAGAAATAATCAATGAAAATGTTTCAGGATTTTACTCTTAATTGTGGCCATCCTGTTCCTGGACCTAAAGTTGTAGCTGTGTCAACATTACCATTGTTGCCGTTGTTTCAGGCACATAATTACTCTGTAAATGTTTGCTCCGGGCTGAATCCCAGCATACAAAGGGGCAAAGGAGAATAAAGGAAGTATTTGTCCTTTGCTGGAGACCAATAAGTAAACACTATTTCTATATGGTATTTATCTAGATTTTGGATCTTAGCAAATTAAATCAATACTTTATACCATGATAAAACAAATCTAAAGAAAATATACACTTTTAGGATTAAGTTAATGAGTGAACTAAAGAGTCACTCTTAAATTAAAAATCTCACCAAGGAAAAATAAGAAAGGGAAAAAATATAAGGATAAACTGGGCTAGCTGCTTTGAGGTAAGTTTTCAATACAAAATAAAACTCGATGATCAATTTACCAACAGGAAAGAACAAAATCAAAAGCATAATCTCACCATTTTTGTTTTCCTGAAAGGTTTTCAAAAAAAGGATGAGGATGAGGTAATGGAAAAGCTGGAGAAGCAAGGTCATTACTGGTCTCTATCTTTTGCCATGTTGACACAGTTCCAAATTTAGTCTCTCACTTTTTCTCCTTACCAGTAGTGGTGCTGTTGGCAGCAAAAGCCATTTATTGAGCATTTGCCATGTACCAGGTATCTTTTTCCCCCTTTTAAAATAGAGATAAACTCATTAGCAGCCTTTAATATTAATATAAGTTCACCTAATTTCTGTGCAAAGATCCACCCCAAACCCAAGCCTGTGTAGTAGAATAGTGTGGCTAGACATGATGTCCTACAAAGCAGCAGAAGAAAACAGAAATGCAAAGAGACCCAACAACAAACAGCAAATATTTATAAGGAGTTCTTGCTTGGGTTGAAGATAACACATGGTAATAAGATAACTCTTGGGGTTAGAACAATGATTACTAAATTAAGTATTAAAAATATCTGTTCAATTGCACAAAAGACCCTTCTTTCTTCCTGCTCCAAGTCCTTCCCAACTTTCAAGGCTCAGCTTATTTTACCTCCTTCCAAATTCTTCTTTACTCTAGCTCTCAGTGATTCTTCTCTCAACTCTTGTGACTCCTACTTTGAAGCAAATAAATCAGTATTTCATTAGGTAATACCTACGGTGTTTTCTAATAACTTAGTCTTATCTTTCCTACTATGTGGATTGATCTCCCCTACTGGATTGACTAGATTATAGTGACCATGCAAAACTTTCATACACTATCATACCTAACATAGTGCTTAATAGAAGAAAACCATTTAACTCTAAATGCTATTTATTTGACTATTGGTTTACTGAAATACTACTTAAAACACTAATCTGTACTTAAGAGAAAAACTTGAAAAGAGTGGTAATCCATTTGTGTACTAAGATGGACCAAAAAAAGGTAGTTCTTTTTTTAATGGTAAATCCATTTGGTTTCTGTCATTCCAAGCCATTGCTAAAATGAAATTTATTTTTAAAAATTTTAGAGGGGGAAAAATTTATGTCATATTTTAAAAAATATGGGTTAATATATATGCATGTATTTTTCCTAACTGCTATTTCAAAACCTAATACTTACTATTGAATCTATAATAAATGTCAATAAAAAAGACCACTAAAAAAATTATAGAGTGCATCTCATTATCCCATTGTAGACCAAATTTAAACTTTTCATAGGTAAAACTCTGAGCAAATGGTTTGTAAAAGCATTACAATAAATACAGAATAAGGGTAGTATTTCTATATGACAGTTACAACAGAAATCTGTATTGAATTAAAGAGTATTTGTCATGACAGAAATGAAAACTATAGTAGACATATCATATCAATACATTTCACTTATTTCAAACTATTGACTATGAAAACTAAATTATTCTTACCAATGCAAAGAGAAATGTCAATTATCTATATCCTACTGACATAATGAGAACTGTCAATTATCTATAAGGGAAAAATTCACTGTTACCTACACTGATTATCTTCAATACCTATATATTCATCATTTGCATACACAGGCACTTCTTTTTTTTAAAAAAATGCATTTATTTATTTATTTATTTATTTATTTATCTATCTATCTATTTATTTATTTAATGTGGTGCTGAAGATTGAACCCAGTGCCTCACACGTGCCAAGCAAACGTTCTACCACTGAGCCACAACGCCAGCTCCTATGCAGGGCACTTCTAACTATGCAGAGGCTTCCCAACAATCAACATATGATGAAAATAGTTACTGTTTCTCTCTTCAATATAGAGCATACAAAGTGTATGTTCAATTCATTATTTGTCAGACAATTGTAGGAGGGATGATTTTAACGTTGGTAAATTCAGTAAATGTAAACACTATCAAATACTTTCAGATTTAAGAGTATTCATGGAAAATAATTACTATATACAGTGAAATCAGGGTCATTTCCACTTCATTAAAGTAATTTAATGCTATTTTATCCCTGTGTCTCAGAAGATGGTTTAACCAAAGCTAAAGGCAATGCACCCGAAACTGTTTTGACAGTTTTGAAATCTGGTTCTATAATATGGTTTAACTATTGATGTGTTGTCTTGCTTATAGCATGACATCTGCCTTCTATTAATAAGTAAATAACAAAGAGAAGTTTAACCAAATTTATGAAGAGATTATTTGGGCATATATATTCTTGGCAAGCTAAATGTTAAATCCTATTTAATGTTTACTATTTAGATACTGACTGTGGAATAAAATGCTATGGAAAGAAAAAAGGGTTTAAAAATTTCACATGAAGATATTATCTTTATAAAAATGTTTAAGATCTGCTTTAGAATAATAAAAAAGGAAACAAGAAATTTAAATTCTATTTTATCTTTATATTATTTTATAACTATCAAAATAAGTTAAATTTAACATCAGATATTTTCCTTTTATAATAAAAGTGACTAGTTTAAAATAAGAAAGAATATATCCTACATATAAAGAGTAATATTTATTCCCAGTACTATTTTCATAAGAACTTATTTATACTGAATAACCAGGGTAGAGAGGAAAAAATTCAAGCAACCTGGTTCTTATTAGATATCCTTGGTAAAGTCCTAGAAACTCTTGTTTCATCAATCAAACAAAATTTCAAAATTAAGATGACTAGTACCAAACTGACTTTACAGATTAGAGCCGACTGTTTCTTTACACAGTGTTGTACATAAATAAACATATACACCTACACAAAGAATTCTATTCCATCTAGAGTTTTAACAAAATTGGTGTGCTCTTCTCTCTAGTTAACAGTAGGTGATACAGAATTTGAGATTCTACTCTAGCTAAGCTTCTTTAGAATGAATGCAACGAAGGAGATAATTTTGTGAAAATTATTAAATTCTTTTGTGAACAAAACTACTTTTAACAACATACTAAACGGAATGGGCTAACTTCCCAGCACAAAACAGACTTAAAAGAAAAAAAATCATTAACATGAGTCCAATTTTAGGGAGGAGATAAGCAATGCATTATATTTTAAACTTACCACAAGAGCAAAGAACACCATAAAGAAAAATGATAAACTACTTGTGTAGCCAAGAAAGCCTGTAAAATAACAGTAAAATAAAAAGCAATTTATAAGGAAAGTGATCCTAAACGTACCGCTAAAGCTATACATCTTGGGCATGTTTTCTATTATAGTGCTTGGTATCTGGGGCTTAAGGCTCAGAATAACAACATTCCAACTATCTGTCACAGATCATTTATGTAGCTCTGTACAGCAGAATTGGAACTGGCTTACCACTAATGGTACACTGTAAGGAAAGGCTGCTCTTTAATGTTCCGCTGTAAAGATTTTATTTTAGTGGGGCAGACAAAATACTACTGCAAACCAAGTAAAAGGTTAACTAGGCAGGGTTTAAGGCTGAACAACCTAAAATAAGGCCAAGTTTAAACTATTCACCACCACCACCTTTCTGCTAAAAATATGGTACTATGAAATTTAAAAGCCTCTTAATATTTCTCTCTCTCTTCTAAACAAATTATGTACTCTTCCATAAAGACTTACCTATTTTGGGAAGAAGAGCAAGAGGGAACACTATGCCAACACAAATAATTATTAGTAGTGTTTGTCCATCCAGATACCACGACCTATTAGGGAAAAAATTCTGTTTTAGCCACAGAACTCCAGTGTTTGTTCTTAGATGTGTGTGCACGTACTCATGTATTACAACCATCACAAAAGGCCTACTTCCTTTTGTTAAAATGTTCTTATGGGATCTTATTATTCTTATTAATGAATTTACATTTAGGTAATATACAAAAATAATTTTTAATTACCAAAATAACATTCCACTGAATATTCTGTGATGAAACTAAATATTTGGTATATAGAATTTTCTCCTGTTTCATAACAGTATTGCATTCAACAGTTCTCATGCAGGCAGAATTTTTTCTGTTTTAGATGATTATCTTAGAATAGAATGCCATTATAAAAATGCTACCGGTCTTCAACCACCAAAATTATAACTGCTTAAAAATAAGATAATAGGGCTGGGGTTGTAACTCAATGGTAGAGTGCTTGCCTCGCATGCGTGAGGCCCTCGGTTTGATCCTCAGCATCACATAAAAATAAATAAATAAAAATAAATAAAGATATTAAAAAATAAATAAAATACAATCCTTAAAAAAATTAAGATAATAGTCAATGTTAGTGAGAAGGGATGAGGTGTGCAAAAACCTGGTAAAAGTATAAACTACATAAATTACCTTTATGGAATGAAAATCTGCATAGTTAATGAGAGCTTTCAAATAATTGAACCCTTTACCACTTAAAAAGACTATTAAAAATAAAGAAGCAATCAGAACAAAGATTTTTGTACAAGTTTATTGAAAATATTTAAAATGGTAAAAACTGGAAACAAACATCTAACACCACTACAATTCTGAAATAACAATATGTTGAATATTCACTAAACATAATATGTGTATATATATATGTGTGTGTGTGTATAGCATGATACTATTTTGAAAAAAAATATGGATGCATTAAAAATTGAAAGGAAGTATAGTGTATTGTTAGCCATTTTCTCTTGATGGTAGAAAAATGGGTAATTTTTCTTCTTTGTAGTTTTCTATATTTTTCCAAAGTTTCAGGATAGGGAATGAACTACCAGCTCAGAAAATATTACAATCTACATATAAAGATGTTAGAATAATGAGAGGGAAAAAAGATCAGTTAGTGTGATTATGTATTTGTTCATTAAAAACAAAAATCCAGCACAGCAAATCAACAATAAAAACTGGATGTTCATTTTTAAAATGCCAAAAGGATACACTTAAAATACCCAAAGTAGATATTTCTATGTGGTAGCAATATGAGGAATATTTATTTTCTTCTTGTTTGCGTGTGTGTGTGTATGTATGTTCTCTCTCTCTCTCTCTCTCTATATATATATATATATATATATATATATTTTACAATATAAAATTCATGTATAGAAATTTTTAAAACTTAATTTCCCAAGACCTTAACAGATTTGTATGTAAAGGACAATGAAAGATAGGCAGGGGTTGTGGCTCAGTGGTAGAGCGCTTGCCTAGCACATGCGAGGCCCTGGGTTCGATCCTCAGCACCACATATAAATAAATAAAATAAAGGTATTGTGTCCAACTAGAACTAAAAAATAATATAACTAGTGAATATATATGAAGAAAAATCTAATCACTGGCTTTAATTAAAGAAATAATCACTTTGTTAAAATTAAACTAGTACAATGATTAAAAGATAATATTGAAGGATGTATATATGATGTATGTCCATCATACATGCTACTGATCTTGTCAATTAGTAGTCTCCTCTCAAAAACAATTGTCAATATGTAGCAAATACAATAAAAATGTAGTGGTAATCTATTCTAAGATAACCATCTAACCGCAGAAACAATTCCACTTGCAAGAGAGTTGTTGAATGCAACACTGTTAAAATATTAAGAAACAGGAGAAAATTCTATATACTCAACATTTAGGTTTATAACAGTATATTTAATGCTTTAAAAAATCTAGTAAAATAGAAGATTAGAAATTAGGTAGTAATAATATTATATATAATTTATCAATGTATACTTTTCTAAATTTTCTGTAATGAAGCATAACATACCCAAACACATGCACAACAGTAATAAAATAAAATCCATGCTAAAATGGGAGCTGGGTGTATCAAAGGGCAACAGGGATTTTTTCAAATCATTTAGTAGGTGATCTTAGAATTCACTTTGCAATAATGCATCATCTTTCACTCTCAAAAGGTAGCCAAAGTCTTCCACTCTCATTTTAAATTAAGAAAGTGTTTTCTTCTACCTGGGTTTCAACCTCTGGCTTCTAATATGGACTTTATGATTCAGTGCACATCCTTCACATCTTAGTTTATGAGGAAGTCCTCCCTCTCCACAGTACTTTGAATCAGTCCTATTGGGTGCCACCAACTTCCTCTTTGATCATACTTTTTCCTTCCCTACCTACCCTAATTTGTGTCCTTAGGACATGCATGTGCCAGAAGATATAACCTATGCACAAGTATTTTTAGTAGTCACATACCTGAACCTGTGCTTGCTACATGTGCAAGTGCCCCTCAATCCTTTGTATGCAGGAAGTACAAAGAAAATACACATATTAACAATATGAAATGAAAAAAAATATGAAATGATACTCAACATATCTCTTTTCTAGTCACTCTTAAAATTTAAGACCCAAATTGGAACTTCAAAATCTCTCTCACTGAGGAACACCTGGCAACTAAATTTCTGAAAGTGGCAAACAGCCCAAGGCTCTATATCAGACTCAGACAGTTGCAGTGACAGGAGAAAAAAAAAATGCCCAAAGGAGCACTGGTGCAGACTCCATCTGTCAGTTCTGCTGTCCCTGATAGGTAACAATACTGCATTGTATATTTAAATGTCTGTCAAGAGGTATATTTCATATGTCAAGTGTTCTTACCATAATAAAACAAAATAAAAAATCATTATAAACCAATCGGACTCTTCAAAAATAAAAACAAAACAAAATGACATGAAGGAAGAATTGTACAAAAGCGAGTATGCTAATCCCTAGACTAGGACTCTTTTACATAAGATAAAAGAAGCACTTTGAAATCCTGAACAAGAGTTACTTTATATTATTTCAGATCACAATTCATGTCCATAAAAGTCACATTACTGACCAAAGCACTGAACTGTGGGTCTGAAGATAACTTTACCTCCTCCCAACAGTAACTCAGAATTAGAGTTATGGAATGTCAGAGCTTGAAAAAAACTTAAGAGATCATCTGGTTCAGCAGCTTCATTATGTCTGTGAAACCAGCAACTGGATGATGATGATTTTGAGAGTAGCAACGGAAATAAATATTCTCTAGTCTTCAAAAATTATGGTACTTTTCAGATACTACATCATTTATTTCAGGATCATGCTTTTCACAGGACTGAACTTTAAATTCTCTATGAGAAAAGGATTTTATTGTAAACATAATTTTTCTATCCCTGGCTTGGCTATTGGTTATCATTAATCATTTCTTATCCTTATTAATTTATGTAAATAAAGGCAATTGTAAAGAGAGTGCTTTCTTTAACATTTACTCATTAGAAATAAAGGCAATATAGTGATATAACACAGTAAAGTTAGTTTAGATTTCAAGTATAGGTCATAGTCAATTGTCTCAGCCTGAAAAATATAAACCAATAAAATTTCAAAAAGTACATATTAAATATTTTTTTCATAAACCAAGATTTTAGAAAAATATATTAATCTATCTAACAGAACTCCTGTTTTCCTACTATGATCTAAATACACATTCTCTTTAAGCCAAAAGAATTAGAGTAAAAAGTTTTATACTTCCTAGAAAACTTGTTTGATCTGTTGATTTAATCCTGTATGATAAAAATGTTACAAGTATGAAATATAGAGTATAAATCCTTAGCTGTATTGTAAATGCTTTGGCATGCAGATGTTTTTTCCATTTTTTAATGAAAACCAGATTTATTTATAAGTTGCTTTAATTTCATTCTCGAATGGAATGGAACAAGAGTATCATATGTTCTGAATTAGGATCTTACTCACATCCCATATCAATTATGTAACTCAAATGCAAGACAACTTAATTGTGTCAATCATATTCCCCTGACAAGATCATTAAATGTTAATAGAGAGCTTCCAACTTTTAACAGCCATAGATTTAAAGAATATAAGTTATTCTAAAAAAAAGATATATCATGAAAGTTCAGTGTAAGTATTTAGAGACCCTTATTGATACACAAAATACATGTATGAAGATGTGAATTTGGTGTCAACATGTCTTGTATATAGAGATATGATAAATTGTGGTATAAAGGTGTATTAAGAATTGAAAGGCAATAATAATAATTATAATAATAAGAGATCTCATGTAAAAAAATTTTTAAAAAGTATTTATAGCTTCTGATTTTTTTTTTAGAGAGAGAGAGAGAGAGAGAGAGAATTTTAATTTTTTTTTTTTTTTTTAAGTTTTCGGCGGATACAACATCTTTGTCTGTATGTGGTGCTGAGGATCGAACTTGGGCCGCACACATGCCAGGCAAGCGCACTACCGCTTGAGCCACATCCCCAGCCCCATAGCTTCTGATTTTTAATAGTAATTTTTGAAATTAGAATATAATGAGTATAAAATTCTGTATAAAGGTTTATGTCACAAGGTTATGCCAAGCCCACAGATAACCCAGAAATAAGTATGCCTGAAAGATCTTCATTGGAATTTATAGTAAGTCAAACCCTAAAATAAAATCCTATCAATATCATATTGACCTCATAGAAAAAAATACTGCTATTTAACTCTATCTAGAAATAAACTGCCCTAAAAGATAATAAAGTCGACTATAATACATTTGCTTAAACTATTTTTACAACATTAACCTTTGAAAATTTTGGTGCCTTTTAACCAATTAATATAGTCACTTATTAAGTGTTTCAAGACTTTGAAATTCAAAATAAGTGAATATTTATTATGGTGAAAACAACATGAGGTCATTATGTGCAATTTTAAACATAAAAGAGATGATGCAAACTAGCCTCAATATTTTGAAGTATACATTTTTTGAAAAACCTGTTTCTGACACAAATATAACATTTTAACTAATTTTTTACTAATATGAGTGAGGAGAAATAAATTTTAATTTTTAAAACAAACCGGAAAAAAACCAATAATGTAAATAGCAATTGATTTAAAATGAAGTTGATAAAAGGATCAGTTTAGAGATAGAAGACCTAAGTTTCAACTAGTTCTGTCACATAGTACTTTGTTTCTAAAACTACATTTGTCTTTCCATAAAGACATATGACAATAAAAAATATAAATAGAAGTCACCAAATTCAGGACCAAAAAAAAAAAAAGGAAAACACATATGACAGACAACTATTAGGATTAACATACATTAATGATACATTCAAATTTGACTGAGCTTCCTGGCAGTTTGAGCAAAAAAAGAAAGAACATCTTCAATACAGTTACTATCAATGAAATTTCTTAATTCTCCACATTTACGCTATATTATATGCTTAAAGGCATGTATATGTACAATATCTTATTTCACAATAATTTTTGTTAAGGCAATATTGGTAACCCAATGATACCAGGTAAAGAAATCTAAGGCTCAAAGTTAAGTTAAATGGTCAAAAGTAGTTAAATGCCTGAGGTTATTAATATGAAATGAATACAACATGCTTCATTCCTCTTGGTTGAGCATTCTTCATTCTAGTTCATGTTGCCTTGAATTCTTAGCTTTATATTATCAAATAAATTTCTCACATAGAATTTGAATATTGGAAGCTATCCTCAGTATTCTTACAAGCAAATACAAAAGTGAATTTCAAATAACTATTTCTTATTTAAATCAGTTATCAAACTAAGCATAAAATCAAAATGTAATTATATAAAGCTGAAGATAAATCAAGGTCACTGTATCAGATGTGACAATGAATGTATAAACCTCATAAACTATAAAGTACTCTAGAAGGACACTATCTTCTTATGATGAGAAAACATTAAGGGTTTTTACGACCTTTTTTCAACCACTTTTTCTTGATGATTCCTATTCAGATCTAAAGCAAAAACACCCTCCTTACCAATATGTATCTTCATTTGTCTAAGTAGAATTCCTTAATGGAAACTATGTTGTCAAAGGTAAAAAATAAATTTTGAAAACATTCCCTGCAATTACTGGGGCAAAACAACCAAAAAGGGCTGGGGATGTGGCTCAAGCGGTAGCATGCTCGTCTGGCATGTGTGCGGCCAGGGTTCAATCCTTAGCACCATATACAAAACAAACAAACATGTTGTGTCCGCCGAAAACTAAAAAATAAATATTAAAAAACAAAACAAAACAAAAAAACAACCAAATATATAAACCTAAAAGCTGGCTGAGTTTTATGTAGTGATTTGAAAACTGTATAAAATAACTTGACAATGAAAAGAATTTATTCTCTCTTTTCAAGTTCATTTTTCAAAAAAAAATCTTGTTCTATATAAGGAAAGGGAAAGAATAATTAATTTTGTTTTTTTTCCCCATAAAAAAAGAGATACATCAATATAGTCTATAGGACTCAGACATTTTTAAATAAAGGAGAAAGTATATTGTGTTTTGGTATTACTCGAATTAATGTCAAAAAACAGGAAATGAAACAAGTCCTTATAAATAATTTTTTAATCATGCTGTATAATAGAAATCTCACACAGATATGTTTGTAACTTCACATTCTTTGTTACTGTGATTTGTTGAGAAGTGACAGCAGAATTTTTCACTTTTTTGTGTTTAAGACCTTTATTATCAGTACTTTTAATCTCCTCCCTGCCCTCACCCCAATCTTTCATATCCTCAGAAATTTATCCTTCACTCTTCTTCAAGAGTTCTCTCTGACCTGTCTTGTCCTCTCTCACACCCTGAAGGAATGCAAGGGCTTATTTGGTGCTTCACCAAATACACCACCGAGCTTTGTACGCAGTGCGTAATCACAAAAATATATGCAGAGTGTTTTCTCCTTTATTACTATCTACCCCATCTAATCTGCAAATGTCTAAATGACAAGGAATACATTTGTTTCACTTGCCACTACAGCTTAATAAATATTTATTGAATTAATAAATGAATGGATACAATGCGAAATATTTTTCTTACCCACTATAGTCTCCAGTCAAAAATTCTGAAATAGCAGCAGGAAGCTCTGTTTTAATAATTAAAAGATAAGATGACATAGCTGCAAAAAAAAAAAAATTCTATTAAAATTCCATAATTTTTAACCATTTAAAGAGTAATCTCTCCAGGAACACAGATGTCCATTAGAGATGGAATAACATATGAAAGACTACTTCATAAGGTACCACCCCAAAGACATATATACCAGGAACAGAGATAAGTAATTTTGTAGAGAAGAATAATTGGGTAAGTACATTAAGTATCCTTTGTTTATATTTCAAATCTAGAGCAAAAAATTTAGATAAAAGGGTCTTGATTATAGACCACTTTAAAAACAAAATTTTGTTTGAAGTTTTACAAAAACTCTCTTACACGTTATTTCCCATCTAAGGCATCAGAGGTTAGTTTAGTAACTGACATAGAAACAGAAGTTTAACAAGTAGGCCAATAACTTTGATTATTTTTCCTTTGTTACTAGGGAGAAACACCATTCCAGCAAGTCTCGTTCCCTCTCTCACTTGCTCTTCCTATATTTGCTACCCACCCCCACACTATGGACACAAGTTATTATAAGGCAAATATAGAACAATCAATTATATTCAAAATTGTCCTCTGAAACAGATTAGAAAGATCCATTAGAAAGCATTACGTAAACTGAAGTTATAGAATTTCCAATTTTTACTCCACTTTTACTCATCTGCATTATGTAATCAGAACCTGAAGCTAGTAATAGTTCTCACATTTTATCTGACAGGATCCAAGAAATAACTAGTTTTTATATACTTTAATAATTATGTTATTGCTGATATAGCCATAAAAACAAATTCTATGAACCTTCCATTATTAACATGGCTATAGAATACAGAACTCATTTATCTACAAATTCTTAAGTTTAAGCTTAAATAATTAAGTATAAAAAATGCAGTTGATTTGGAGTCAGAACCTCAGTTTAACAGAGCAAGAATCTCTCTTCCCTCAGAGATTAAGAATATGTTTTTAAAAAAATAGCTAATGAGGAAATGTTCATGAAGAAGAAAGAGTGTACTCTGTGTGCACATTAATTTTATTACTTATTTAGATTTCAGGAAACATTTCACTTTCTCCTTGGACCTATAAAAACCAAGAACACAAATGAATGCCAAGTCTGAATGATAAAAATCATTTGATGAGAAGCTTCAATAGTTTAAGAAGAATGTGCATTTCTCAATTAATCTATTAGAAAACTAGCTGAATTTCTCCATGATTACAATGCCATGCGACCACTTTAACTTTAAAAAAGGGACTCCCATTAGTTTGTATGTGAATTTGTATGAAGATAGACTATCACTCACATTTTTTAAAGTAAAATAACATACATCTATGGCAAAGTAAAATTTAGAATGGTTAAATAAATAATCACTTCTTTATAATAAAAATATGCATATACATATTTTTCAGTGCATGGGTATTTCTTTTTCCCCAGAAGAAATGCAGCTGATGATTAAAACCTGCTAAGATGTTTCTTCAAACTCTTTTACTTTAGGGTACTACAACTGATTAGATGTGAAAACGTGTTCTATGTTATTCATATTCTCATAATGAAAAATGTCTTCAATTCAGTACAGAACAGAAGCAAGGTTTATATCAACCTCCTCCACTAAAGGATTTGGAGTCTCTACCATATTTTATCTATTCCAAAGAACTATACACATGTGGTGCAATGATAAAAATCATGAGTTGATTTTTTCCAAAACTATCCTAAAACGAGAGAGAGAGAGAGAGAGAGAGAGAGAGAGAGAGAGAGAGAGAGAGAGAGGGGGAGAGAGAGAAAGAGACAGATATTCAAACAAGGAATGCAATGCAGACTTCCAACACAATGTAATTTATGATCTGCCCATCAGTCTTTCTTGCTTGGATTAATCCAACACCACATGCATTTCTAAAGTTTCAGACATTCATCTCTTTCAGTAATTTTCTATTATTTCTTTTGGATCTTTCATTGTAAAAAGCTTCAATGAATATGAGATCAGATTTCTTTCTAATATACAATCTGTCATTCTTTCCAGAATTTCTATTAGCCCCTGGCTAATCATTTGATCACTTTTATCCTCTCTTGTAGCCTTAACTCTTTGGCTTTCAAATGGGAGTCCTGTTTCATTAGATTCCAGTCTGAAGAATCATGTATATTTTAAGAAATATGAACTCACCAAACACATGTTTCTCTCTCTCTTAAAAAAAAAAAAAAAAAGACTTCAGCTTACAAGACACGAATATAGTAAAACACGCAAACTACTGCTTCTTTCTTAGAGAATGCTGGCATATGTTTTAAAAACTACAAAACCACAGAGCTTACCATGGGGGGAAAACCCCTACTGATTAAGCAAGTAAAACAAAGAAAGACACTACTCTATTCACCATCAAAATTATTTTTTCTTAACCACAAATAAACTTTCATGCAAGGACTAGTACCTTAACATATTATATTACATATAATACAGAGAAGAAACAAAAAAGGTTACCAAATGCACATAAGGTTAGGAAATACATCTTAACTGCATCCACATAAAAAGAACAATCTGTTCAATAAAATGAGCTGGAAAAGTTTCAGAGATATAATATCAATTGGAAAGTTCATATATCCATTGTTTTTAACCAAAAGGTTCACCAGGTCTAATAGCTGGTTGCCATATCTTTTGTCTCATGTCTTTTATTAATAGCATAAGGAAATGTTCAAAGACTTATCTTAGAGACAGGTCATAAGCAAGAATTTGTAAATGATTATTGCTGACATCAATACACAGTGTAGACTCCCTAGTACAAGACACAACATGTTGTAGTCCAAATTAATAGCTGTAACAGGGTCATCCATAAGCACCACAGTTATGGTTAAGTAGTTCTGAACTCCATATCACCAAAGCCAGTATTAGTGCTAGAAGACATACCTTGATGACAGTTACTCAGCCATTACAAATCATTTAGTTTCACCACATTAACTAAATAGATACCTTTTGTCTTTCATTTTAAACATAACTAATAGAACTCATTTCATAGAAACTGCCCTGAGAAGGAAATTTAAAAATCTGTCAACTAATCAAAACACAGAAATTGAAAGCATTCTTTAAAAATCATGTGGAGAAACAACTGCTACATTAAAAAAGGACTAAAATAGGGTAAAATTAGATTAGGCTATAGTAAGTAGTAAGGTATTAATATTGGTTGACTTAATCATAAAAAGAAACACATGAGCTGAGCCATGGAAGGTTGAGGGAAGAGATGCAGGAAAAAAGTGGAAGGGGCTCAGCAGGGACATCCAAGAGAACAGCCAAACTTTTTGAATTCTGGATGCCTAGTAAATGCCTGGCAGTATTCTAAATGATACAGAAGTTGCTTCTTCATTAACTTTCACACATTCCTGAGAAGTAGATATTATTTATTTCACAGATAAAGATATAAAAGCACAAAAAAGCAATAATATTTAAGCTAGTGAAAGCTGGTGTCTCAAGTTTCTTGGCTTGAGAAACTTGCTTAGTATGATATGAGCAAGTGCAGGAGAAAAGTGAAGCAATCAACCAAAGTACAGCAAAAATGAAGAAAGTCTATCAGAAGGACCATTCTCCAGAATTCCTTTTGTATTCTTTTCATTAGCACTTAAACAACAAACTGCTGAGTTTAATAGTGGTTCAAAGAAAATAATCTATAATGAATGACATTAGTCAGAAGCTTTATCTACACTATAATTTTCATTTCACCTTGAGATGTATTTTCAATTTTGTAACTGGTTTGGCAAAGTGATTAGTTCAAAATTCACTGTTTCATCACAGGACTTTATTGCATTTACCACCACGAGCGGACTGTGTTCACAGCTATGATTATAGTTCTGAAGTTTCCTAATCTCATATATTTGAGATTTAATACTGCTTGGAAATCTAAAAAAATCAAAACAAAAATCAATCCCTCCGACCCCAAACTCCATACTCTTAGAGACTATTTTTTCACCAGCACTCTGAAAATGCTTTTCAATTTGTCACTAGTTAAACATACAACCTTAAGAAAGGAAAGACTTATTGAGCTTGGACCTAAGAAATCATTAGTTTACAAAGATAATTATTCATTTTGTTAAACAGTTAAAATACATGTGTGAAGAAAGGATTACTTACAGCTGTTTTAAAAATAGAATTATGTTTTCAGCACTTGGGGGGAGTTCAGCAACTTCTTACAAGGATTAGTCAGTCAGCCCTAAACAAACAGATGTACTATAGGAGGAAATAATAAGTTTGCCTTTCCATTTACAAGACATCATTTTATTTCAAAGTTGTTTTTAGTCATGGATAATAATGGGTTTATTCAACATGTCTTATTAACCTGGTGCTTCCACTAAATGTAGAAATGCCACTGAAATTCTATCCTCACTTAAACCATATACAATCTCTCTGTTTTTAAAATTTTTTTTTAATAAATACGAAAACAATGTCATTTCCCTAATTTGCGCAAAATATAAATCAAAATATATGATGGAAAGTATTCCTCCACAACCTTAAAAAATACTTTGCTTTATCATGTATCAAGACCTTAAATTTAAATAGAAAGTGATCAGAAAATCTACTATTTTGAAAATCTCATAAACTTCAAAAGAAACCATTACTTGGGCTGAGATTGTGGCTCAGTGGTGGAGCGCTTGCCTAGCACAGGCTGGGTGGGACCCGGGTTCGATTCTCAGCACCACATAAAAATAAAGGCATTGTGTTGTGTCCATGTACATCTAAAAAATAAATGTTTTTTTTTTTTTTTAAAGAAACCATTACTAAGAAATACACTGTTTTGTATGCCTCTTTAAAATAACATGTTATTAGTATATTTTGTCAAAGGAAGTAATTTCGAAAAAGACTTTCCTCCCGAATTTCCTGTACTTCTATTCTGAGTCAGTGTTTTCTAGAATTTTGCACAATTCTGCTCCAGCTGACCCAAAGTTGCAGTTTGACTACAGATAAACTGACCAGCAGATGGCGATGTAACAGCATGCCCAGTCCCAATTTCCCAAGGGACAATAGGAATTGAAATCTGACAAAACATCTGACTCTTACTACTTTGACTATACTCCACCCTCCCCCTCGGCCCCACCAAGAATAGAGAAAGAAAGTAAATTCAACTTGTTTAATATTAAATTTTAAATATGTCAAATACTGAGAATTTGAGATTTTTTTTATAGTTCTCAACTTAAAATGATTTTATTTATACTTTCTTGTTTATAAGATTTAGAAATTGTATTAAATGAGTATATAAAGGATTGGTGGGTTTCTTTTAAACCATGGATTCCCAAACTGATGGGGCTAATCAAATCTGCTAGAGTAAAGTTTGTGTGTTCTGTGCCAGAATAGAAAATCTGGGTCATTCTAAGCAATTTTAGGAGATTTCAGTAAGACTACTGTTTAGGATTCTCTAATACATAACAACAATAAAATATTTAATCTCCTTTGAGAAACTGAGGCTTTAAAGAACTAGGAAAAGAATATGCTGTCTCTGGTAGTCCTTCATATTTATAAAAAAAATGAGTAGTTTAACATTTTCCCAGGAGCCACTCAAACTTCCATGTTCTGAGTTGGGCAAAATAAGAAATAAGAAATAACATAAATTGACTTCACCTTTATCATGTACCTGTAAGAATTAATAAGACTTTCTCTGGCTTAACTATAATGAAATGGGGTTTACTGTTTCATTTCTAGTGATCTTTTAGTCTACTAAATAGTCTTTCTCATGAGTTAAATTGAATATGAAAGTAAATACCTTAATTTTTAGGAAAAGAATCAATGCAACAGAGTAAAAGAAACTATCTTGAAACTACCTACACTTATTTTCTGCTACAATTCTTAATCATTTTATGGTTAGCTAATCAAATTCAAACTCTCTAAATCAGGATTCTCTTGCCTAACAACAGCATTCAATATTAAAATTTCCAGACACCTCTTTTCTGACTCTGTCCTGGCAGCAATGGCTCTCAGCAAATGCTACTCCAGTTTCTGCAAAAACAGGCTGCAGAGGGTTACCTCTGGAAATGGCCTACTTCAGGGCCCTAATTTGTTACTGTTGAGAGGAGATCAGGAATCACTGTTAAGTAATATTTTACCATACGGGTCTTCATTTTCCAAAGGCAAAGCTTCTTATAACCTTAAAATAAGGGTTCTAAATTTAATGAGTTGCATTTTTTTTCCATTGTAAAATTTAAAGATTATTGACAACAGTTGATTTTTTTCAATCAATTTGTCAGGTCTCATAAGGGCCCTGTGACTAATACTTGGTGCCTGATTGGTCTTGGGGGATTGAGATTTTTCTGTGAAGCTCTGACAGTCGATTCTTTCTGAAAGAAACTATATGCTCACTTATATACTCTGTGGTCTTTTCTTCCTGGTTAATCAATCATTTCACTTTTTCCTCCAAGGGATACTAAGCTGGATCACTAGCTTTCCCCTCTCTCTCTTTGTCTTTTATTTCTTGCTTTCTTCTTATAATAAATACTACTTACTGAATGCCAACTATGTACTAGTAGTTAGGATATAAATAAATTAGTAAATTACTTTTATTCCTGAAATATGGAAATAGAATAACTGGGCCTTTGCTAAAAAATCATTGCAACAAAGATTGACGAAGAGCAATTTATGATGATTTTTGCCTTTAAAGGCCTGTCTGTTCCATAATTTTTTTCATAAATTCACCAAGGGCATCATATACTAAGAAAAATAAGAAACATTTAAATGTTACAAAGGATAAGAGTTAGGAAGCATTAATCTAAGATATTATCACTTAATTAAAAATAAAGATGCCTCCTCATTGACTGTTCCTGCATTAAAATGTTAATGCCTGAATTAATATGCCTCCCAGTGCCAAATTAGAATCCCAATGTTTATAAGAAGGGATTCTAAGCTCCATACTTTTCACCCCCAATAATTTAACCAAGAGAAGAGTGAATGAGTTCCTTCAGACACACACCTATCCAATGGCAGAGACTGGAGTAGACAGAATTCAAGGTACTTCACTTTTAACCCAGTGCTCTGCACATAAGAGTAAGCTTCAGATTCCATTATAATAAAGGAATATTGCATATCTGTCTAAAAAAAAGAAAACTCTGTGAAAATATGTTTTTGATTATTATTCAGTGGGCTTTCAATAAATAAACTTAAATGATGTGAAGAAAATAATGAGGTTCATCCTAGAAACTAAATAATGCCAGGCGTGATGGCACAGGCCTGTAATCCCAGAGGCTTGGGAGGCCAAAGCAGGAGGATCATGAATTCAAAGCCAGCCTCAGCAAAAGCAAGGTGCTAAGCAACTCAGTGAGACCCTGTCTCCAAATAAAATACAAAATAGAGCTGGGGGTGTGGCTCAGTGGTCAAGTGCCCCTGAGTTCAATTCCCGGTACCACCACCTCCTCTCCCCACAAAATTACGACAACTGCTTCTAAATTTTTTTTCAAAAAATTCTAAAATAAGCAAATCAACTAACTTGGAGTTTGGAAAACTGATGATTTATATACCATCAAATTCAAGATTTTGAATTTGAACATTCTGTCAATTGACCAAGCCAGTTCTGTTTGAATGTCTTCAGGAATAAGAACACCTTAAAGGAGTATAGGTCAACCCTATTATCACACAGTTTAATTATAAGGGTATTTGCTATGGTCTGAATGCTTTCTATAAAGCTTATGTTTTAGAAACTTAATCCCCAATATAATAGTGTTGGGAGGTGGGGTCGAATGAGAGGTGTTTAGGTCAGAAAGATTCCATTCTCATGAATGATTTAGGTACATTGTAAAAGGGCTTAAGCCTGCAAGTTTGATGTACCTCACCATATGATACCTTCACCTAGCAATAGGGTCCTCACCAGATGTGGCCCTTCAATCTTGGACTTCACAGCCTCCAAAGCCAAAAAAGTTTCTGTTCACTTTAAATTACCCAGTCTGAGATATTCTGCTAAAGGAACACCAAACAGACTAAGATAGTATTCTAGATGAAGAAACCAAATCAACTACTCTGTAGATGTCTATCTATTAGAACCAGTTTTGCCCTCTTTTTCATTATTTCATTTTAGCCTTTCAAATATGTGAAGCTAGTGATAGATGTAACATTCCCTTTTTTTCTTCTTGATAAATATATTCAAAATATTAGAAAGTACTTGGAGATAGCTCATACAAATCATTTTGGCTCCATTCAGTTCAAGAAAGGTTTATCAGGTTCCAGTATTGTGCTGGTTGCTGAGAGAAGAAAGAGAAAATGATACATAATCCTTGCCTTGGAGGAGATTACGTGAGGGAGAGAAGCATATTTGGAGATGTCAATCTAATAATAGCAAGTGCCAAATTAAAGTCATGTCTAAACAAGATTATGAAACAAGAAAGAGACCAGCTGGAATACACAGAAAGATATAAAATGGGCATTGTGGCAAGGTCATGAATTTGGAACCAAATTCCTAAACTGAAAATTCTACATAATTTGTTAAATAATGATTCAACCTAATCTAAACTGCCCCTATAAAAATTCCTAAAGAAAGAGACGAGTTTTCTTGATTTCTAGAGTGAAGTATAAAGTAGTGTGTGTTAGAAGAAGATAATTTGGTATGACATCTAAGAAAGCATTCTTCTCACTATTTTTTTTTTCATGAAATTCAAAGAATTAAATCATTCAGATTCAGGATTCAAAAACAATAGAAAACACAATTCATTAATGGAATGTTAATTTTTTCTTGACTAAGAAACTCATGAAAATATAACTTGGTTGAACAATATTTAATGTGAAATAACTCAGATCTCTTCAATTAAACTTTACTAAGCTGTCATCTTAAAATATTTTAAACTGTTACTTATAAAGGGTAAGATTAAATTCATTTGAGCCCAGCACAGTGACCCATGCCTATAACCCCAGCAACTCGGGAGGCTGAGGCAGGAGGATTGCAAATTCAAACCCAGCCTTGGCAAATTAGTGAGGCCCTAAGTAACTCAGTGAGACCATGTCTCTAAATAAAATACAAAAAAGGGCTGGGGATGTGGCTCAATGATCGAGCACCACTGGATTCACTCCCTAGTACCACACACACACACACAAAAAAAACCCCAAACCAAAACAACAACAACAACAACAAAAACCCACACAAAAACAAACTTCCTTTGACCATACAATCTTGTATAAGATTCAAATCCATGTCAACCTTCCCTATGAATTGTCTTTTTACATTAATGACATTTATTTAGCATCCCAGTCAATGATAAAAGAAAATTAAGACACTGTTCAGCTCTCTATACAACCTCATTCCGACATACATACATGACTCCTATATTTTGAATTTAAATGTTTAATACATTCAGTCAACTATCTATAATTAATAGTAATTTTTATTTCTACATAGTTCTCAAAATTGGAATCATTTATAGAATCAGTTTTAATAGAAATTAAAGATAAATGTGAGAATGCTTCTGATTTGTTTCAAATTTATTTCTTAAACCACTTGATCATTTTTAATTTCTTAATTACAATGGGACAACTGATTGTTCACAGCTCAGAGAACACCAGTCACTATAAAGTACTGCCTGCGAATGGGGGTCATTATGAGAGGATAAAAGTGAGGGGAAATATTTTGGAATTGTCTGGAAAGTTTTTCCAAAGTGTATCCCATCACTATCACAACCACAGAAAGCCAATGTTTTAGAGATGTGTCACAGACTTTATAAGAAGAATGCAATCAAGGTTTAGCCAGAACTGAAGTTAGAAGCCTTGTGACAAGCACTGCTAAAAAGGATTCTCATTAGGCCAATGCTCAGGGCTTCCGTAGATACTTCCCTCTACACATCACTTTCCCAGTTAGATGTATAGTGAGGCAAGCACCCAAAGAGAGACAATTATTTCTATCACTTATGTGCAATAAGTGGTACACTTTCAATTGCTTACCTCCAATATTCTGAATTATTATGGTGCCTGCCACCACCACCTATAAAAGAAAAAAAATGTATTCAGAAGATAAAAGGGGAAACTATGTAAAAGAATTAGTATTTTATTAAAATCCAAAAACTAATACTATAAAATAGATGCAGAAGTCATGACAATGAGAAACAAGAATGAATAAATTGACAGTTATTTGTAATACAAAAAATTAATAAAAATTACATAAAAAGGCTTTCTTTAATAGTTCCACAATTACCATAAAAATGTTTTGCAATTTTTTGGCAGTCATTTCTGAATAGTTAGACTTGTTAAAAGCTAGTAATTGATTATCAAAGTTAAAAACCTGAAATTGAATCTGGGGAATCTGAGGGTCCCTTTCATATTGGTTTTACCACACTATTTTAGCAGGAAGACCAAGATAGCTTGGAGTGTGCTGTGCCAGTGTAGTCTTGCATAGAAGGAAATCATACACCTTCTGAGTATATTAGCTTGGCATACTCCTAGCTTTTGAAAATTCTATGCCAGGGATTAATAAAGTCTATAGCAGAAAACTCCAGAGCAAAAACATTCTCACACCCTGAAAATTTAGACAAAATGTTTCAAGCTCAATAATGTGAAGTAAGCTGAGTGTAAGAAAATAGAAAGTAGTGAAAACTGTAGTCTGTTGGAGAACTCCCCCTTCAAAATGGAACAGTTTTGCTACTCAGGTCTGGTGAGTTGATGACATGTGAGAACACACATCCAGTGTAGCCAGATCTTCTGATTTTTAAAGGAAAATCAGAAATCAGTGTTTTTCAAACTTTTATGATTATCAGCTGGCAACATATTAAAAATAAAAAAGTTTTGAGCCAAACAATATATGCCTGAGGACTAGTTCAGGCTGCAGGATTGCAAGTTTATGATCTTGGATAAGACCTCTAGGAAACTCAAGGAACATTTTGTCCATCCTTGGTGATAAGATGTATTCAGAGGAAATAGTTAAACATTGCACTTTCATTTGAGCTTTCTGAGGACTCAAATCTTGGTGGACTGCAATCATCAAGGGATGTTTGGATCTATCTAACATCATTCAGTCCTCCATGAAGTGGGAACAGATCAACTGTCAGGCCCATCTCTATTAGGAATTCCATCAGTGACACAAAATTTGTCTGTCCTGGAAACAATCAAAGGTAAGGCCTTGGGGTCTGCAGAGAAGTGATATTGAGTTGAAAATCTGGCAAAGTGTCTTTAGGGATATGGTAATTACCATTCTAATGTTTTCCAGAGGGAACTCTGCATCACAACCCACTTAAAAATTAGTTTCAAACTCTGTTATTTATGAAAAGACTATTTTAAACTGTACACTATCTTCAGTACAAATTATACCTACTATCACACACACATATAATATTTGAATGTATTGTCTATCATGAATGTATTATCTATCAATATATTGCAAAGAAGTAATAACATCTTAATAATTACTTTTCCATTCTTTAGCTGAATTTAAGCATTTAATATCTACAAAGCCAGATGAATGTGCCATCTTCAGTGCCTAGCCCAATGCAGGGCATGGTATCTATTCAATAAATATTTATCTGATAAGTAAATACATCAATTTAGAGACTTTTTTTTGAAATCTTCCTTAAAATTTCAAAATATTTCAAAACAACTGATTCTCAGAATACTATCTTGTATCATATTTATATGAAATCTAGAGACAACAGGAAAGTTTCAACTCACTTGTGAAATGGAAAGGAAACACAAACAAGTAATAATTCCTCATCCAAAGTATGCTCTGTCTAGTGCACCTGCCTATTATGAACTGGGTGCACATATTAAAGTAATAATGCAACAGCTCTAGAGTTTTAGGAAAAGGAGACTCAATCCATTACTCTTCTTTTAGATTGTTGCTGCCCAAGGATGCATGAAATACTAATGTGAAATGACAGTGATCAGTGATCACACTTAGATTCATGTTGACAGATCACATTAACTGGGGAGTTTTCTTATATAATAACTTTTTTTGTCCTTATTCTTTGATTAAACTAGCTGTATCAAATTCATCACTGATTACACTAAACCTCTTGATTTTAGGAAAGAGAACCTGTTACCAGGGATGATGAATACAATCCTTTACCCTCAAGTAACATATTTCCTGTTTTGTGCAAATTTCAAGTTTTTAAGGTCTAAGCCATGAGACCACCTAGTATATGATTTAAACATTCCCTTTTATACTTTAAAAACAGTTAATTGGAATATAAGTACAAGTTTTTTTTTTTTCCCCTCTCCATTATATAGTTGTATCTTTTTCCTCCCATACTCACTCCTTAGAAGTTAATTTAGCTGCATGTGGTGGCATACACCTGCAATCTTACATATTTGGGAGGTTGACACAGGAGAATTGCAAGTTCAAGGCCAGCATGGGGGATCAATAACTCAGGTTAGCCATTTACAAATAAGGTACCCTTTTAGATTAAAAGCAAAAGAAACAGTATGTGAGGTGAGACATATGTTACTTAATTTAGCCATTCTGTAATCTGTATATATATTTTATAACATTCTATACATGGTAAATATGTACAAATTTTGGTTTTCAATTAAAAAAAATACAAGCAAACAAAAATACAAAAACAGATTTATAAACAGAAAAATTTCTGTTTGGAACCAACATAAATATGGGTTCTAGAAGTATGATTAGCTCTTCAGGGGGGGAAAAAGTACTATAATACTGATAGCAATGCTCAACTCCTGATAATCTGCGAAAAAAGATAATGTTTTTCTCTAGCTCTGAAATGAGAATACCTATAAAAAATGAGTGCCACTAAATTTTGCTGTCATCTTTCTTATTCTAAGTAGGAAATGTAGCAGATTTATAATCTGTAGTCACAGGTTGTGGAATTGGCTTTATGTAATTGTTGATAAATAGGACCCTTGGGCTGGGGTTGTATCCCAGTGTAGAGTGTTTGCCTTGCATATATGAGGCACTGGGTTTGATCCTCAGCACCACATAAAAAAATAAATAAACAAAACAATGTTATAAAAAAAAATAAGACCTTTAAACTGCTCTGGCCCTTAATTTTCTCACCTATAAATGATGGGGTAGTTAGGTAATCTTTCAGGATTGTTTAACTCTCAAATTCTATGATGTTAGCTGGGCTCAGTGGCACACATATGTAATCTCAGTGTCTCAAAAGGCTGAGACAAGTTCAAAGCCAGCCTCAGCAATACCGAGGTACTATGCAACTTTGTGAGACCCTGTCTCTAAATAAAATACAAAATAGGGGCACATATACTTGTTCTCTCTTCCTGCTCCCATCATTTTCTTTTCTTCTTTTTTTACAAACTTTTGTTTCCTTTTATTCCCCAAAAGTCTTTCTATTATATATACTTGTCTCTTAACTTGAAACAGAAGGAGAAAATGCCTCTTTGGTTTTGGACACAATAAGAAAAAAATAAAATTACCTTTCCGGGTAATCCAAATGCAAAAAGTCCAAGATCTTCATAAGATGTTACAGCTGTTAAGAGAAATGATCATTTTCACTTTTACACAAACCATTTATGTGCCAAGTCTTCAAGGAAAGAAAGGTATTCTACTAAAAACTAAGCAGAGTATAATTTTTAGGATTCAGGCCCATCAGAACTAGACATAAATATGAGGAAAAAATAAAGGTAATAGAAAGAAAGGTGAACTTAATTAGGTATTTTATATAAAGGTCTTTAGAGCATTAATCTCCAGGATATATAAAGAACTCAAAAAATTAACACCAAAAGAACAAATATCCCAACCAATAAATGGGCAAAGGAAGTAAACAGATACTTCATGAATAAGAAATACAATCCGTCAACAAATAAATTTTAAAAAGTTACACTTCTCTAGCAATTACAGAAATGCAAATTAAAACTACACTGACATTCCATCTCACTCCAGTCAGAATGGCATTTATCAAGAATGCAAGTAACAATAAATGTTGGGGGAAAAGGTACACTCATACATTGCTGGTAGGGCTGAAAATTGGTGCACCCTGGAAAGCAGTATGGAAATTCCTCAAAAAACTTGGAATGGAACCACCATTTGACCCAGTTATTCTACTCCTCAGTATATACCCCAAAGACTTAAAATCAGCATACATCAATGCAGCCACATCAATGTTTACAGCAGCTCAATTCACAACAGATAAGCTTTAGAACCAACCTTCAATAGATGAATGGATAAGGAAAATGTGATACATAAACATTAGCTATAAAGAAGAATAAAATTACGACATTTGCCAGTAAATGGATGGAACTGGAGATTATCATGCTAAGTGAAATAAGCCAATCCCCAAAAAACAAAATGCCAAATATTCTCTTTGATATGTGGATGCTAACAGACAATGGGCGGGCAGTGTAGAACAGAAGTTCACGGCATTAGACAAAAGGGAATGAAGGGAAAGGAAGGGGGACAGGAATAGGAAAGACAGTTGAATGAATTGGACATAACTTTCCTATGTTCATATAAGAATACACAACCAGTGAAACTCCATATTGTGGAGTTTCACAAGAATGGGATCCTAATTAGAAAAAGTTATACTCCATGTATATATGTCAAAATATACTCTCCTGTCACGTATATCTAAAAAGAATAAAAGGAAAAAAAGAAAAAAACAAATTCCTTTGTTTATTGTTAAAAAAGTCTTTGATAAATTTCTTCGTTAAATCTTTAATTTTCAACCCAAAATATAGCCCACAATGCCTGTGATTTTCATGTCCTTTTATTCAACAGTGATGATTTCCCCTTTAAAAAAAATCACCAAGGACTCCTTTTATTAATGTGTTTCATATTCTGAAAGATTTTATATCTCTAATGGCACATAATAATTATTTCCCATTTTTATTAAGCAAAAGTTTCTGATCAGTATAAGGTAACCATTGTCAACATAGTAATCTTGGTTACCAACTAACAATCATCTATGTATCTACCTGACATCCCCTCTGCATCTATTTTTTTTTTTTTTTTTTTAATTTTTTATTGTTGGCTGTTCAAAACATTACATAGTTCTTGATATATCATATTTCACAATTTGATTCAAGTGGGTTATGAGCTCCCATTTTTACCCCATATACAGATTGCAGAATCACATCAGTTACACATCCATTGATTTACATATTGCCATACTAGTGTCTGTTGTATTCTGCTGCCTTTCCTATCCTCTACTATCCCCCCCTCCCCTCCCCTCCCCTCCCCTCCCCTCCCCTCTTCTCTCTCTGCTCCCTCTACTGACATTCGTTTGTCCCCCTTATATTATTTTTCCCCTTCCCCTCACTTCCTCTTGTATGTACTTTTGTATAACTCTGAGGGTCTCCTTCCATTTCCATGCATTTTCCCTTCTCTCTCCCTTTCCCTCCCACCTCTCATCCCTGTTTAATGTTAATCTTCTTCTCCTGCTCTTCGACCCTACTCTGTTCTTAGTTACTCTCCTTATATCAAAGAAGACATTTGGCATTTGTTTTTTAGGGATTGGCTAGCTTCACTTAGCATAATCTGCTCTAATGCCATCCATTTCCCTGTAAATTCTATGATTTTGTCATTTTTTAATGCAGAGTAATACTCCATTGTGTATAAATGCCACATTTTTTTTATCCATTCATCCATTGAAGGGCATCTAGGTTGGTTCCACAGTCTAGCTATTGTGAATTGTGCTGCTATGAACATAGATGTAGCAGTGTCCCTGTAGCATGCTCTTTTTAGGTCTTTAGGGAATAGACCGAGAAGGGGAATAGCTGGGTCAAATGGTGGCTCCATTCCCAGCTTTCCAAGAAATCTCCATATTGCTTTCCAAATAGGCTGCACCAATTTGCAATCCCACCAGCAATGTACAAGTGTACCCTTTTCCCCACATCCTCGCCAGCACTTGTTGTTGTTTGACTTCATAATGGCTGCCAATCTAACTGGAGTGAGATGGTATCTTAGGGTGGTTTTGATTTGCATTTCTCTGACTGCTAGAGATGGTGAGCATTTTTTCATGTACTTGATGATTGATTGTATGTCCTCCTCTGAGAAGTGTCTGTTCAGGTCCTTGGCCCATTTGTTGATTGGGTTGTTTGTTCTCTTATTGTCTAATTTTTTGAGTTCTTTGTATACTCTGGATATTAGGGCTCTATCTGAAGTGTGAGGAGTAAAGATTTGTTCCCAGGATGTAGGCTCTCTATTTACCTCTCTTATTGTATCTTTTGCTGAGAAAAAACTTTTTAGTTTGAGTAAGTCCCATTTGTTGATTCTAGTTATTAACTTTTGTGCTATGGGTGTCCTATTGAGGAATTTGGAGCCCGACCCCACAGTATGTAGATCGTAGCCAACTTTTTCTTCTATCAGACGGCGTGTCTCTGATTTGATATCAAGCTCCTTGATCCATTTTGAATTAACTTTTGTGCATGGCGAGAGAAAGGGATTCAGTTTCATTTTGTTGCATATGGATTTCCAGTTTTCCCAGCACCATTTGTTGAAGATGCTATCCTTCCTCCATTGCATGCTTTTAGCCCCTTTATCAAATATAAGGTAGTTGTAGTTTTGTGGATTGGTTTCTGTGTCCTCTATTCTGTACCATTGGTCCACCCGCCTGTTTTGGTACCAGTACCATGCTGTTTTTGTTACTATTGCTCTGTAGTATAGTTTGAAGTCTGGTATCGCTATACCGCCTGATTCACCCTTCCTGCTTAGCATTGTTTTTGCTATTCTGGGTCTTTTGTTTTTCCATATGAATTTCATGATTGCTTTCTCTATTTCTACAAGAAATGCCGTTGGGGTTTTGATTGGCATTGCATTAAACCTGTAGAGAACTTTTGGTAATATCGCCATTTTGATGATGTTAGTTCTGCCTATCCATGAACAGGGTATATTTTTCCATCTTCTAAGATCTTCTTCTATTTCTCTCTTTAGGGTTCTGTAGTTTTCATTGTATAAGTCTTTCACCTCTTTTGTTAGGTTGATTCCCAAGTATTTTATTTTTTTTGAAGATATTGTGAATGGAGTGGTTGTCCTCATTTCCATTTCAGAGGATTTGTCGCTGATATACAGGAATGCCTTTGATTTATGCGTGTTGATTTTATATCCTGTCACTTTGCTGAATTCATTTATTAGCTCTAATAGTTTCTTTGTAGACCCTTTTGGTTCTGCTAGGTATAGAATCATGTCATCTGCAAATAGTGATAATTTAAGTTCTTCTTTTCCTATTTTGATGCCTTTAATTTCTTTCGTCTGTCTAATTGCTCTGGCCAGTGTTTCGAGAACTATGTTGAACAGAAGTGGAGAGAGAGGGCATCCCTGTCTTGTTCCAGATTTTAGAGGGAATGCCTTCAATTTTTCTCCATTCAGAATGATGCTAGCCTGAGGCTTAGCATAGATTGCTTTTACACTATTGAGGTATGTTCCTGTTATCCCTAGTTTTTCTAGAGTTTTGAACATAAAGGGATGCTGTACTTTGTCAAATGCTTTTTCCGCATCTATCGAGATGATCATATGATTCTTATTTTTAAGTCTATTGATGTGGTGAATAACATTTATTGATTTCCGTATATTGAACCAGCCTTGCATCCCAGGGATGAATCCTACTTGATCATGGTGCACAATTTTTTTGATAAGTTTTTGTATCCGAGTGGCCAGAATTTTATTGAGGATTTTTGCATCTAGGTTCATTAGAGATATTGGTCTGTAGTTTTCTTTCTTTGAAGTGTCTTTGTCTGGTTTAGGTATCAGGGTGATGTTGGCCTCGTAGAATGAATTTGGAAGTTCTCCCTCTTTTTCTATTTCCCGAAGTAGCTTGAAAAGTATTGGTATTAGTTCCTCTTTAAAGGTTTTGTAAAACTCTGCTGTATACCCATCTGGTCCTGGGCTTTTCTTAGTTGGTAGTCTTTTGATGGTTTCTTCTATTTCCTCAATTGATATTGGTCTGTTTAGGTTGTCTATATCCTCCTGACTCAATCTGGGCAGATCATATGACTTCAGAAATTTATCTATGCCTTCACTATCTTCTAATTTATTGGAGTATAAGGATTCAAAATAATTTTTGATTATCTTCTGTATTTCTGAAGTGTCTGTTGTGATATTGCCTCTTTCATCCCGTATGTTAGTAATTTGAGTTCTCTCTCTTCTTCTCTTCGCTAGCATGGCTAAGGGTCTGTCAATTTTGTTTATTTTTTCAAAGAACCAACTTTTAGTTTTGTCAATTTTTTCAATTGTTTCTTTTGTTTCGATTTCATTAATTTCAGCTCTGATTTTAATTATTTCTTGCCTTCTACTTCTTTTGCTGCTGTTTTGCTCTTCTTTTTCTAGGATTTTGAGATGAAGTATGAGATCATTTATTTGTTGTTTTTTTCTTTTTTTAAGGAATGAACTCCAAGCAATGAATTTTCCTCTTAGAACTGCTTTCAATGTGTCCCATAGATTCCGATATGTTGTGTCTGTGTTTTCATTAATCTCTAAGAATTTTTTAATTTCTTCCTTGATGTCTTCTATAACCCATTGATCATTCAGTAACCT